GTTTGAAGACACTGACACCAAAGATTATCTGGGAAAAAATTATGACAGAGACAAAAAATGAGGATACTCATGTGAAAGACTGAACAATCAATTTAATTGTGAAAAGCAAAAAACCCACAACAAACAAAATATGAAAAAAAAAACAAAACATATTTGACATTAAAGTAAAGAAGTAAAGAAGTCTAGTGTAGTTGTGGCAGCAGAACTTTGTTTTTATGTTTGACAGCAGCTGTTGTCGTCACTGTACTGATGAGAACACAGCAGGAAGACAAACTGTCACCTATTCTTGTAGTGTGTGATTCACTAGGTATTATTATAGTACACTAAGCATGCATTAAATCATCGATGTTGCACAGCGTGATGAAATCTCACAGTGTGTAGAAGCCCTTAGAAAGGTAGTTTATGTGAACATATTGTGAAGAGTTTTGATTTAATATCTCCTCAGGATTTGTATTTTAAAGTGTGGTTTAAAAAATGATATCGTTGTGAAGTTTGTTTACGGAATCCGTCATTAGAGACTTTGGGCTGTTGCATTTGAATGATGTAAACAGGGAGGGTCTAATTAAGAACTATGAAAATATATCATTCCTACATTACATTCCTCCGTCTGCAGCTTCTGTTTTATCTTCATCTGTCTCAGATAAAGGTACTGACATTATCAAAGCAAAAAAGGTATTTGTTTGGAATGTGATTGCTCATGCAGAGGCTTCCTATTGATCCGTAAGAAAATACAGGGAATCAACCCCCACCCCACCCCACCCCCCTACTGAATTTACTGACCCACTGAATTCAAATTATTATATATCTGCAAAAATATTATTTACTACAATTTGATATTGTCATCTAGTATGGCAACATGTCATTAGGTTAGTCCTATAAGAATCAAAGTAAACTTTGACTCTATCACATCAAATCTTATTTCATTACACAAAAGCATTTGCAGTCGTATCGCCTAAGCTGTGGAATAATTTACCCCTACACATCAGACAAGCTCCTGCTGTCAATCTTTTTAAATCTTATCTTAAAACACATTTTTACTTACTGGCTTTCAATACAGCATGAGAGTTATTTGTTAATTCATATTTGGTGTTTTGCTATCCCAATACTCTAAGTTATTTTATTAGGTATGTTGTATTTTTGTACAGCACTTTGGTCAACGCTCATGTTGCAATAAAATGTGCTATATAAACAAATAAACTATAACTATAAACTATAAAAGTGGTTGGAGTTGAGCAAGTCAAAAGAAGATGAACCTATAACATGAATGCAGGTACTACCTCTGACATTTACGGTAGATGTACAGTATAGCATCAAGCTACAGTGATAGCCACGTAGAAGGACACGTAGTCCATTATGCTAATTCAAACAGCACAGGCAACGATGAGGGACTAATGTTTGACAATGGCTGCTATAGTGTTTAGTGAAGAACAAACCTCCCGTTCATGACTTTTACACTTGGCTTTGCACAGCTCGTGGCAGGAATATAACTTCAGCTGCAGAGTATGTCCATCACAGGCCAAGGACAAATAGAAGCAGCAGCTTACTTCAGCCACACCTTGCCCCTCCCATCCTAACTCCCTTCTCAGCCTGCTTTATTCATTAACTTGCCTTCCTCCACTCCAAACCTGCCTTCTTCAGTCAAACACGTTGCTTGAAGGGAACAATCATGGGACCTACATGTCTGGCCTTGCTGACTAATATGTATCCCAGATGCACCAACATGATGATGTTTTCTCTCCTTCCTACTTTCTGCCTTTTCTTGACTTTTACTGACCAAATTAAAATCAGTGTAAAGTGTTTACAAGAGGTCTATAAAGGTCATTGGAGGGGTTGAATTTCTGCAGGTATTTTTCTTTCTACTCTAACGTAACACAAGGAAAGAATGATGTAAGTGTAAAACAGTAGTAACAAAGATATTACAGCTGTCAGGTAGACAGTCCCTGAGGACACACTTGCTAAAAATGCTTGCTGTCAAGTTTTGGCTACTTAGCTTTAGATGTAAATACCACCCAAACAGCAAATGGCAAGAAAATAAAAACATGACAGAGAATAAGAACAGAAGCTGAATACAGGGTTATATGAGCATGTGTCTGTTGGACTCTGACAGTATACAGTAATGTTGAGCCCACCTGCAGTAGAGCATGACTCTGGCGTGTGTGGGCTGGAAACTGGAGGAATCAGTCGCCTTAAGCCAAGCTTGCTTCAGAGCTGACCCACTTGTAGAGGGAAGGATCCTGGGATATACCGGAGAATCAGTCTGGCTCTGTCCAACCTCTGGGCTATGCCTCTGTAATGAAAGAGAAACATCAAGGGAGAAGAAGATGATGTCTGTATGTTCATCATGACGGATGTGCTGCTGAAAGGGGCCATTCCCATCCTATGTGTCTGCAGCTGTGCTTGACTGGAGAGATTATTGTCACTTGGTTGCTTACTGTGCAAGATGTACATGCTGGTTCATGGTATGTACTGTATGTGTGTGGCCCAGGTAGTACTCAAGCCATCCTTATGGTGAAAAAAAGCAAGTCTGGAAATCGATCAGTTTTAAATCAGTTTTAAGGAGAAGATAAGTTTTAACTAAAGGGGAAGGTTAGGGAAGTAGTAGCTGTGTTTACAGTTAGAGTGGTTCAATAAAATACTGTGTGTGTGTTTGTGCATGTGTGTGTTTGCTGACATTCTTCCAACACAATCGAAGCCAGATGCAGGTGTGCAGATATTTGTTTCTTGGTCCTCCTTCTTGCACTCAGTTCCTAGCTCTGTGAAACAGTTTAACAGCATATTAAAAGAAGGTGGAAGGGTGTGATTTATTTAGAATACTGCCAAAATACATATCATTACCAAGCAAATATTTGGCACGCTGTTCAGCTCACTTAAAACATGTGACTGCACACATAAATTTTAGGTTCCAAGCTTCATAGTAGCTAATAGTTTTACTGGAAGCAGATTAGGCATGAGCTGCTGTTGAAAGCATTTCAAATTTGCATTTAGTTGTATCAAGACAAAGCGAGTCTTGGTGTCCAGTTATTCAGTTTATTAAATAAACATTTTCAGTTCTTCTGTGTAAACCTGTGTAGTTTTTTATCCTGTTCCTATTTCCTGAGATTGTAGTAGTCTTTTAAAACAAGTTACATATATGTATTTGGTTAAATTTCTTTCCTATCAAGCACTGAAAGGCTTTAAAACGACTCTCACTTCTGAGGAAAGCGTGTCACTAGTCCAAGTGATCAGTGTAGAGAATAACTAAACATATTACAATGCTCTTTCTCATCTTGCCCCTGGTGGAAATTTACAGGAAGCAAAACTGTTGTACAGTGGAGCAGAAACAGAAGGGGCTTTTGGCTACAGCTGCATGTTGGAGTGCTTTGTTCTGAAAACCAAAATAAAAAGAACACACGGCAGAATGTGGACAAGAAACTGGCTGACAGAACGGGAAGCGCACACCTAATGGCTGTTGAAAATGTTCACGTTACTGAGTTTTACTATATACATAGCCACCCCCCCGTTAAAGTAATTCTAACCATTTTCGTAAACAAAAAAAAGAGACAGAAACTGCCTTAAGTCAGCTGTGACTGAATCTGAATATGACCACCTTACACTAAACAGTTGTGAGGCAGAATCACACCTCAGCTTAAGGTATCATGGTTTTCCCAAAACAGGGAACACTGAAAAGAGGAGTGGCATAAATTGCAGGGTCTGTAGTTTTAATTGTTGTGCAGTTAAACATTTGATGTGAGTGGACAAAATACAAGTCATGTGGAGCAGTCATAATGTAATTGTGAATGTTGGTATGTGCGTGATACCTTACTGTGAACTAGATTCAATTTTTTTTCTATTGAGAAAAAAATGCGGTGTTACACAACGATACGATTGTTTGAATAAATGTCTGATTCCGTTTCTTGCAAACATATCATGTTTTCAAAGTAGTCACATGGTATTCATCACGAGGCTCACAAATACACATCACTGTCAAAATCTTTGAAAACAAAGAATCAGTGAGTGACACTGCTCGTTTGTAGTAATTACAACCTATTTATACCCTACAGTCCCCACACACTTTCACAATACATGACAATACATATAATACATACAATACATCATAATAAATGACAATATGTTAGATATTAAAACATAAAGTCTTGAAATAACTTGCTGAACTTTGGGCACAAGATTTAAGGGCTTTATCAGTTTAGTTTTTCTTTCTGTTATTAAACAGAATGTCTGACCTTTGTTTGCTCATCAGAGGTATAACCTTGTAGTCAATAAGCCATTTGCAGCAGCATGTTTCCATGGTTTCCATGTGCCTTTTCAAAATAGAAAAGTTTTCAATTATCTTAAGCTTATTTCTGGCCTGTGTTTGCAAGGGTCTCTTTGTGCTCCGATAGGTCCAGCCACAACGACCCCAATGTGCTTGTGCTGTGTATATTATATTATGTGAAAACCAACTGTCACATAGTATGATGAAGAGTGTCTTCCTTACCTCAAAATGTCCTGGTGAATTAGGATTTAATGTTGTGGAAACAATGGTGGTGCAATATAGGAAAACCATATGATGAGTCAGGTCTTCTTGGCTGCAGCAGTTATCCTTCCAGCGCTGCAATGTGGCTCCAATAGGACACAAGAATCTTATTGTTTTTGAGTTGTTGTTCGCGAACAAAATGTGGTTTTCATATGGGGTCTTTTTCACTTGTAGGTGAAGTTTTTTCTGCATTGTGTCATTGTAGTATTACCACAAGCATGAAGGTGAACTTCTACTTAAGTGTGTAATTCTGTAATTGACTTTTTTTGGCATCTTTTGAAGATTGCATGCCTACCTGTAGTAACACATAACCCTGCTGGTTATCTTACACTTTCATTTTAGACCCTCAAGAATTTCCTTCCTCTCTTTTTTGCCAAACTGAAAAAAAGTCTTCAAAACTTCCTCTCTAACTTCCAATTTACTGTAGTTGTAGCTGCCACACTCTTACACTCTGCCTGCTTTTCATCTCTTTTCTCTCTCCCTCCAGTTCATTCTCTACCGCTCACCCTCCCTCCTCTAAAAAAGAAAAAAACCCTGGTCCCCCTTACCTCCCCCAGCTGCACCTCCCCCAGCTCAGTTTACAAGGGGAGCTCATAGAGATCAGTTCAATAGTGAGAGGGTTCTTTTGGCATTCTCAGAGCTACAGCGGTATAGAAGAGGCTGACGGGAGCAGCCACTGGACCCGTGTGGACGCCTCAGTGACCGCTTGAACATTTCTGTGCCCACATGAGAGAATGCTGTCAGGACTGGCTCTTCTGCTGCTCGTCTGCCTCCACATGCGTGTGCAGGGGAAGCTGCGGTCACAGGTAGGATCTGCCTCACCTCTGCTGAGTCCTGGGGGAACCTGGTAGAGAGGGGCGATTTTCATTGATACCAATACTCTGGCCATGACAGAAGGGGGATTTCTTCATTTTTTCAGTTTGTTTTGTACTCTTTACAGTTGCTGATACGTTGCTGATATGTGGCTTCATGCCTGTCACCATGAGAAATGCTATTTACTTTATTGATTAGAGGTCTGAGTAAAACATCCAAATCTATAGAGCTAGTTGCAAGTAAGCCTGGTACTTATTTCCATCTAGTGCCCTGTGGTTGCAATTAGTACTGGGCAGTGTCACTCCATAACTTGAACTGTCATTATAGCCCCATGATCTTGTGGTCCAACTACTGAGTGGAAGTATTTACAGTATTGCTGTTCTCACTGTGGCTCTGCTTGCTCTCTGGGCTGTTTATTTTTCCACAGCACATTCACTGGCTGCTTGTGGAGTTAGATTTCCCTCCTAGTGGAAGACTCAGTGAGTCAGGCCTGTCTTGGGACTATAAAGATGTACTTAAAACCCTATTAAGGATAGACTGTCATCCTGCATTAGCCTGTCACCACTTGTGCATCAGCTCATCTGGTTTTACATCACCTGTATTTGCCTGGAATTAATGAGGCCAGTGTGAGATGCCTGCGGGTGTTAATGTAAACTCATGATGTGCCAACAGGTTTGATGAGGGTGTCTTTCCAAATTGTATATGACTTTAAACTACATTCCTATCAAGCTTAAATAAACATTATAATATATCAGTACATAAACAGCGGGTATGTACTGGCTGAATTGATTAAAACCCCTTTGATGTTCATTTACATTCTCAATAACTACAGGATAAAGACAGCTGACACTGCCTCGTGCAGGAATAACTGTTATATCTACTATTCGCCTGTATTTTCTGTGAATATCTGCATGATATTAGACTGACCCCACTGCTCTACTTGCAAACACAACATTTAAAATCAACTCAATTCATATATTTAGTTTTCCTTTAAATAGTTTCATTTTGACTTTTTTGTAAACCAGATATGTTGACAAAACAGTAGAATACAATGATTTTACTTGCCACAAAGCCATTCACAGATAATTGCAAAACACTTGTCACTTTCATCCTGATAAAACTGGCTGATAAATGTACTGCTGAGGAAACCCCAAAATATACTGGCTACATTAAGCACCCACTGTGAAGCATATATAATGCGTAATGAATGTTTTGAGGCTGATTTTTGTTAAAACTGGGACAGTAATTGACAGATGCAACCAGCTCATATTCAGTTTTTGAGTCCTTAAAGGCCACCTGAAGTCTCAGAGGCCCCCAAACAGAATATTATGGTTACAGCAGTATTGTGGTTTATATCACATACGTTTTACTGGCACACACTGCAAAATTCTGGCAGTATTTCGTTTGCTCAGCCCCTGTGATTAGTCTCTGTCTTTTTTGTGGATGTTCTCAGCAGGAGCTGTTCAGAGTCTGTGATTCTCTTTCCGAAACAGTTCTTCTAAATCAGGGCTGTGAAGTCAGGAGAAACTCTATACGTTTTAATGGCTGTAGATTGATCACACTTCTATTTCTGAGTGTTTTACAAGCATGGATGCCTGTAGTGAAGTTAAGAGTAACTGTGCCCTTTGCTCTATAGTCTGTGAGGGCATTTTGTGGTTTGGATGAGGCTTCTTTCTTTACTGTTGGGATCAAACATCTTGCCACTCTCTCTGTACTTAAAAGGTTACAGATGTGCTTTCATGCAGTAGCCTGAAATCAAGTGTGGAACCTTGTAAATTCAAAAATAACATTTTGGTAAGTTGCTTATTTGTTTATTTTATCAGCAGAAACAGAAATGCAATGCAATTTGTATTTTTTTAAACCACAGCTGTTTTGTCCTTCCTGCTTATCCAATGTTACAGTAAATACTTTAATTTCAGCTTGTCAGCCCATTTTGGTTGAACTTTCTTTGCTATTGATTTCGAAACATGCTGTGTTTTGGAGAGTGGAAGGCTGAGTGATTATCATAAAAAAAACACTAGAGATTTGGTTTCTATTTATGGCCACAAACCAGCATATTCGAGAAGCAAAATCTGAGGAAAAAGTTCTAAACTGATCAAATCTGCAAGTATTGAGATATTGATGAAGTGGCATTTTCATGTATACATTCATAAACAGACTCTAGGCTATTTTTGCATAATTTTTTTTCTCATAATATGTTTCATTTGTGATGGCAGATTTAAATCATTTAGCTATATATTTAGCCAAAATGTGTTTGGCTAAATTAAAAGTATAAATGTAGCTGAAATTACCTGCGGTGTGTGTGTATATATATATATATATATATAGTGGCAACTGACCAATTGCTAAGAACATGCACTTTCTAGGTGACTGGTGTAACTATAATGAAAACACATTGATTGCACGAGTCCTCAACCCCAACTTTTCATGGCAGATGGCTGCCTCTCACTGAGCCTGGTTCCTTCCTGTTAAAAAGGAGTTTTTCCTTCCCACTGTCGCCAAGTGCTTGCTCTTAGGGGCTAATTGTTGGAGTTTTTTCTTTTGGGTCTTTACCTTACAATATAAAATACCTTGAGGCAACTGTTGTGTTTTGGTGCTTATATAAATATAATTGAATTGAACAGAACTGAATATCATTGTTATCTTAAAATATTAAGGGTTAGAGTCAGTGGACAAACTCAGTTTGTTTCTTTTCTACCATGTACACTTAATGTTTAATTAAGCTTAAAGACGGGCTGTTCAGTGTTTTTTTTGTTTTTTTAAAGGAGAAACTTGTAAACAAAGTCTTAAATACTGCATAAGCTTGATAGCTGGACACATGATATTGTGTTAAAAGACTCTAGCTTTCCCTTATAAGGTGACCTTTGCAAGTTTTTGTTTTTGTGCAAAGCTGTGTGATAAAGTGTTTGCTGGAAGTCTGTTTACTCAGCCTTTTGTAACTTTGGTATTTAATGAATATGCTATCATCCAGCACTAGCTGTCACCGCAGGGAGAAATAGTAAACAGTGTATGAGGTATCAGAGTGGGTCTTTTTTTTTACTGTAACTTGCTGCTTTATATTTTAATGCAATTAATATTCCTTGTCCTCCTTAAGTAAGACTCTGCTGGTAATAAGCTGAACAATAACAGCTTTTTGTTTTGGGGTTTTAAAGGACACAGAAAAGACTATCCTTCAGTCTCTTTAAATTCTTGTCTGAAATACTACAACCCCAAGGACACACAGACATGTGGACAAACTCAAAAACAAAAACAAGGCAAACATTGTTTAGAGGACTGGCTTAGAGAAAGGCCATCTCTCATTTTATAAACCAGATTTCTAAAACTAAAATAAATCTGCAAGTTGTGGTCATATGGTTGATTTACTTCCTGAAAAGTTTATTATTAAATATAGAAATTAGCATAAAGCTTAATGTGATCTGCAAAACAGTGAAGGAAGATTTTCTTTCTCTGTTGTTAAACTAAATTGTTTACACAGGAAAGACTGTAAATCATTCAGTCATGTCAGTTTGTGTTTAAGATTGTCATGCGAGAGCTCAATAGTAATGTTAACTCCACAGATACAGATGTGTTTGAAGTGCTGACTGAGGTAAAAGCAGTGTCGCAGGCCTTTCCTCATTAAAGCCAATTAAAGTTCCATAGCATCTTAACATGTGGGGGACAGATGCTACTATGCTCTGATGTGCACTTTGTGTATTTTATTTAAATCCAAACCAAACCTCCAACCATATTTGATATCAATCTTTACAGATTTTTTTGTTTTTTGGTCCTAGAAATGTTTGTACAATATCCATAATGTCATTTCCAGACACAACATCACGTCTTGAAATTACTTCCACTGTAAATTCTTTGTCGTTGGGATGATACTGCCTCTGTATCCTCAACCTGGAAGCCAAGTCAGGGCTGTATTGAATTTCCAGATGAACTTGAGCGTCACAGCTGACCAAGTCATGATCACTTCATTGGCCATTTTCCAAAGAATTTTACAACCTTTCTATGTGTGAATCTGTAGAAATGCCCAACATGTGCACCAAACAGGCTCCTTTAACCTTATGCTCATAAATATGTTTTATAGTACTGGACTAATTCCATCACAGGATGCAGTTTTATGTAAGAGTAGTTTTATTGTGAGAAGCATCTTGGTGGAAAGCACGATGTCTAATTCATTGTCAGTTAAAGAGTTAAAACCTCCACTTTTTTGTCAGTTTTGTTTACACAAGTGTTAGTAATATTGCTTTGGTATATTTGGTATAATGAAAATAGAGAAAAGGAGACAGCAGTTCATGGCTCACAGTATTGTTATTTTGCTTTTCTTTTGGGGTTGATAGGAAAGCTGAGGGAAAAACTGCCAAAACACAGGTTAAAAGGTTATGGTGGGGATCCAGTGTGGATTCATGTGGATTAAGACTTGGGGGGGCTTAACCACCACAGCCTCTCCAGACTGAGAAAACATCCTTTTATTCATAACCACCTCCATTACATTTTTTTCTCTGCAGAGTTTGGCCGAGCAACATGTGAGTTATTCAGGGTAAGACAGTCAGACCTGAGAGTTGTCATTTTAAACTCAAATTGCCATAAAAAAAAAACCCCAACCGCAAAACAATGTGATACAGCCACTATGTCACCCTCTGGCTTATGACCCTCGTTTTTTGATGCTCTGATTTCTTTTTATTTGTTTTATGTTTTTTTTTTCAAGCCTGGAGGAAGCATATTTTTAAGTGGAGTTCTCCGTTATCAGCTAACACTATAGCTTAAAACAATAACACAGTACATATATCGACTATGGGTGCGTCCTACAGGCGTGTGCATCGTACAAATAAAACAAATAAAACACTAGAATTTTACTCACTAAAACAGAGCACAGGGGTCTTGTACCGCCTGACTACACAGTGTGACAAATTATTTGTCATATCATTATTTTAATGCTAGCTTTTGAAACCAGTCTCAACTGCTATTTCAAGGAACTTCAGTTTTACTCACTTTAGGGGTTTTTTTC